ATAGGTCTCTTTACTTTAGGAAATGATGGAAAGGTTAATGTAAATCTTATGACTCAAATTCAATCAAATTCTTCATCTCTACCAGAATCAGGTCTGGATGAGTTTATCTCTTTTGATTATGAAGGTTACTTATAGGGAGAAGCTATTTGACTGATTTTATAATTAATAATGGGGAAAATCATCAAAATGAGTAGCTGTAACTCCTCATGAAAATTTGTTGCATAGGTATTATAAAAATAAGCTTTTCATTTCATGGTGCACATAGAGATAAAGCCAAAGGTCATGCTTATAGAAAACAAGACTCTGGTACCAGGCTACCAATTTTCCTCTAATGTCTTTTCAATCAATACTAATCACAATAGCCTGTTCTAGCACGTGCACAGCCTGGTGACACAGTGACAGGAGCAGCCCTCCCACACCACAGTTCATTTGTGCTGAACATAGAAAAGTAGTTAATGAACATCTTATGGACAAGTCAAGTTAAAAATGTGACCTCCTGGTTTCACTTAAGGAATTATATTAAACCTGATCTGAAAGATTGAGTGTTGAGAGACAGAGAGAGAGTGAGAGAGAGAGAGAGAGAGAGAGAGAGAAGTCAGTAAAAATACCAAAAAAATGCATCTTATAAAAAGGCTATAAAATTCATTACCACCTAGTTTCTCCTTCATTTCTCAGTCATTCAGAAGGCAATCCAGTTCATCCTATATAATAAAACGCTAGTATGCAAATTGTCCCCTCAACCAGGCCCCACCCCCAATTGCCACCCTCACCCCGATTGGGGGCAGGGCTGGCTGGCCAATCTCCCACATCCCTTCCCCCAACCCTGCCCTGCCCCATCGGCCATGATCGGAGTGGGCAGCCAACCCAACCCATGCATGAATTTGTGCACTGGGCCTCTAGCAAATAATAACGGCCTTTGTAGCCCGGTCTGCATGGCTCAATGGTTGAGCATCAACCTATGACAATGATTCTTTCTCACCATTGATGTTTCTATCTCTCTCTCCTTCCTCTCTGAAATCAATAATAAAAAAATGACCTTTGTAGAATGCTCTGCTGACCTGCTCTCTTCATTCCCAGTGACCATGTACATGTGTGATTGTATGGAATAGTCTATCTTTATGTTTGACAGGTCTCCATCAAGGAGATTTATATAATGTCAAAATATTGCTACAACATTGGAAATACCCAGACTGAAGAGATAAAATATCACTATAATATGGACAGTTGGGTCAAAAAAAAAGAGCTCAAAAGAATACATTTTCTTCAAAGAAAACTATCTTTGCAGGTTCTAAATCCTTTGTATGATTTAAACAAGAGAATGGAAATGAATGCATACGTGTGAAAT